GTGATTGTATTTATTATTATTATTATTATTATTATACAGGATTTATATAGCGCTAACAGTTTGCGCAGCGCTTTACAATCCATGATTTACTTCTTTTTGTTGTAAAGCCAATACATTTTATCCTTCTTTTTGTTTTTTTTAAAGTGTCAATTTTGGCTAATTGCCCTGCTTGTTAAGTATACAAAATCTCATAACTAATTGTGTACATCTGTATTGTAGATCAGCAGTACCAAAATGGGTTCGTGCCCTCATCTTTCCTCTGGCAGAAATTGACCTAATATTTCTAGCCCGGGAACCCTATGCTGATGAGATAAGAGGAATAGCTCGAACACTTGAAATCGGTGTTGGATATTTATTAGCCGTTAACCTTGCCTATGAAGCTACAGCGTAAGTAGCACCTAATTAAATATTGTCTTGTTTTTTATGCCAAATTAGAAGGCCCCTATACCCCCTTTGCTCTTGTCACTAGCAAAAATGCACAATCAACAGGATTGTTAAATGTGTAAGGAAAACACTCGCCTGCTTGTATATGTTGTTCCCTTACCAGCTATAGGAATGATGTATCACACTCTAGTGGGAGAAAAACACTGCAGAATTAATGTGTGGTGGTGACATATACAAGCAGCTTTGTTAGTAGATTGTTTTAAGCTGAACTCCAGAATGAGCAAATATAGTCTAAATAAAAGAGGTATATGTATTCATACTTGAATCTTAGTGCGCTTTGTGTATTTCTTCCAGATCTGTGCAGTAATCCAGTATAAAACTTTGCATATGTACAGGAGCTTTCTGTAATAAAGACCAGTCACTACTGCTCTCTTTCTCTCTCTCTTTGTACAGGGTGACTGGTCTTGTATCCGCCCCCTGTAGTTTTCTGCAGGCACCCTGTTAGTGGGTGGGGCCACTACATTTGGCATTCTACATTTGCCATACATCTGGGTTTGCAAAGGCATTTGGTACACACAAAGTGGATGTACAGTATATCCTCTGTGGCTTTAGAGGAATATATTTAAATAAATTAAAAATTCAGCTTTAATTGCCTGGCTGTGTCCTGCGTTACAATCCTGAATCTGGTGAATTCTCAAGAACAACAGGATCGCTAATGTGACATAGGCCAAAATGTGTTTGAATTTATCCACCCAAGATACTATCCTGGCCATTTTGTTGTCATGTCAACAACTTAGGATGGCCACATATCTTCTGCTTTCATATCAGCTAGATTTTGCTATGGGAGATATTAAGATGCATTGTCCCTGAAATGTTTCCACATCCCATTTTCATTAAGGTTTATCTAAAACCAAAACTTTTCTTTTATTGTTGGATAGAGTATTCAAATGGCTAAAAACTGTTTTGGGTTTCTTTTTTCCATCATTACTCAAGGCTTCCTGTACAGAGACACAAAAGGAAGTGAGAAGACATTTCTCCAATAATTAATGTTATTTTTATGAAAAATAAACTTGCCTTTCTTCTTCTACCTGTTTTTCTGAGGCACTGGTGCTGGAGCCAATGCTTTCCAGCTGGAAGGGCTGCATCAACAGTGCCTTCCAGAGAGCTCTCATGGTCAAACTGCAAGATATCATGAAATTTCAGGAAATCTTGCTCGATCTTGGCAATGCATTGCAGTGGCAGGACGGATCAGTGGGAATATGAACTATGTAAGTATGGATGCACCAATACCGTTTATTCGGTATCGACTACGAGTACCGATATTTTGCTGTCGGAACTTGTCAATACCTAGTACCAATACCAATGCTTCCACTGGCATGGAGCCGGTCAATCAGGAAGCCGGGGCAGCAGGTAATGACATGCCACCCGGCTTCCTGATTACCCGGGAAGCCACCTCCATGTTGTTTGGCTGGCTCAATATCGATTACTAGTATCGGTATCTGTGCATCCCTGTATGTATAAGTCTACTTATTTCTCTAAAGTCACTTCATTAGCGTTGGCAGTTATTTAAAGCGGGAGGGTCTGCTTTAAAGTGTGTGTATAGCCAGTTTTATTTCGTTTGTACAGAGTAGGGATGCATTGAATCCCTTACTAGGTTTTAGTTTTTTTTGCTAAATGCATGCCATTATGAAAACATCCTCTGCCCAAGAGACACAAGATGAAGTTATAGAACTCTCCAAAAGTAAGTGGATTGCACTCTGAGAGTTGCCCCTGGATCTGGAAGGTTTTTCCTCACCTTTTTGTTCTGGGGACAACTTTAAAATTTTGGATCCCCCTTTCTTTCTCAGTGAAACTGGTCACCAGTACGAATGGAGGGGTGTATACACCCAATAGGGGCATAGATAGCAATAAAAACTGTCAAAGGATCTAACCCTTCACCACTCTATCCAAAACTAAAACTTCAGTTTTGCCTGAAGATACACTTCAAGTTTTTACTGGAAGAAGTGTCCCCATTGGAAGAGTACCCCGCTATTCCTGTTCCAATGACAACTCAAAAGTTTGGATTTTCTCTCATTTTCGGTCCCTTTGAAAATGGTCATTATGACTAATAAAGAAAGTGAAGTTCCCAGAGAGAAATATTTAACCAATAAATGTTCTAAACCTTCTTTAGTCAATCCAAAATGGAATGTGGAAATAAAACTGTTACTCTTTCGGCACTTTTGTACTTTTGTGTCTACCTTTTGTAGACATAGTATTAATTATTTCCAAGGTTAATAAAGCAACTTCAGAGATTAGAGTTTAAAGGGCAGATATTTATATTGATATGCTATCAAGGTAATGTAGGGTTTAAATTCCATGCATGCTCTTTACTTTAAGGTGTAAAAGGTTATAGCATGTACATCATACATACATATGCAGTGTGTATCTTTATATAATTATAAAATATGAGATCTTATAAAAGACTGTACAGGTAAAAGTTTTTAAATGTCAGTAGATATTCATTACCGTGCAGTACTCTATCCAATACTGATTGGATTTTCTTTTTAATGTCATTAATGTGCTATGATGTTTTCTACAACCTTTTAGAGTACAAACTGTAATAATATTGTATATGAACATTGGGCAGCTATATTTGCTTACATCATGTGAAGCACCACACATTGGCTTGCTGATCTTCCTTAGTGCTGTGCTTTTGTGTGTGTTTAAAATTAAGCTGGCCGTACATGTTCAGAATTTCTTTTGTTCAGCCTCAGGGACTGAAATTCCTAGACTCCCCCACCCACCAAGCAGTATGGATGAAGGAATGTTTTCTTTCTTATCATTGCATATGGTTGGGTGAACCAAGGGGTGTATTTATAAAACATTTGCAGAGCCATTAGCTCTGTGAACATTTGACTTTTACATTCGCACCACATTATGACCACTAGTTGGAGCTGAAGAGTATATGAATTTCCTATGCTCCCCAGCTCCATCTAGTGGTCATATTGAGGAGCAAATATAAAAGTCAGATGTTCGCAGGGATGTCATCTTATTCACTCAGCTACATGAACTTTCACTTTGTCTAGTAACAGTCTCTATTCATTTAGTAAATTAACCCCTTTAAGTCAGCTGACTGATTACACACAGTGAGCTTCCTGTGCCTTGTCTCTATTTGGCCACGGGGAATGAAGAAGTACTTACTGGTATACCCAGTACTTGCTGATATGAGGAGGCATTAAAGTGACTTTTTTTGCTTTTATCTTTTTTATTGGATCGCGTATTTCTTTCCATTCAGTCCTAATCCCTAATCAGAATCCCAGAATAAATTTGTGTGACCATTTGCATTAGGAACATCAGTGAGAGTGGCTTTACCTCTGCCATTAACATTAACAACATATCATGCAGAAATGGCCACACAGTCTAATGGCTGAACGCATGCTTGTCATTTGCATTCACAGTAAGCATATTTTCATTGTACAGTTGTTCTGTTAATGTATTGCTACCGGTATGTGGTAAGTGTAGTTACATATGCTGCCCAGCAGAGTTCTTCTCTAGCGCTTCTGTCTATATTGGCATTCAATCACAGTAAATATTGTGTAAAACTTGTTTGTAATTTTGTATACTATGATACAGGTATTGCACCAGTATAATTGCTCAAGACACAAAAGGAAATATTTATCATGGGAGAAACCTGGACTATGCTATGACTGATGTACTTAAAAACCTCACTGTGGATTTGGATTTTATTCAGAATGGAAAGGTAGTATGATTTGTGTTCTCATACAGTAGTGTCGTTTATTTCTGTAATACTGTATGTAAGGAGAAACTCCTCAAGCTGCCTAGAAATATCAGAGAACAATCTCGAGATTCAGCACAAACTTGAATTCTGGGGTGCCTAAAGTATTTATACCTATGCTATGGAATGGGGAGGAGCAGGAGACAGGTAAGCAGGCACTGCAAGAGAAGCAGTAGCAATTAGACAAGGTCATTTAACCTGAATGCTTGCCATTTTCATTACAGCTTTAAATTAGCATCATCTAGTCAGTCACCATGTACTTGAGATTGCTCTCAAAATTATTGAACCCTTGGTTTAAAGTTCAACTAAAGACTAAGGGGGTAATACACTAAAGAGCCGAAGGATCCAGCAATCGCTTCATGCTGATCCTTCAATTGAAAAACTCACAAAAGGGCGCAAAACTTGAGGGGTGGATAATTACATCATGGGTGCTGACCAATGCACTAAAAACAGATAAAAAGATACACACTTACATTTAAATGAGGGGACCGGAGGAGCAGCGGCCTTGCAGGAGGATCGAGTGGTCCAAGATCGGTGTTCTTGTCTCGAGGCTGGTGTGCTGTCAGAAAGTGCCTGTCGGGGTTGGAAAATGCGGAGCTGATGACCGAAGGGAGAGGCGAGGCAGTGCAGTGACTACGTCCGTGTTTTATGCTGATCCTTCAGCTTGCTTCGGCTGCCTCTGCCCTTCGGTTTAGTTGACCTGAAGGGCTGCCCATACAGCAGCCGTAGGCAGCCGTGCAGCACAGCCGAGACGAATGCATATACTTCAGCTAGGCTGAGCCGTAGTGGAAGGCGAAGCTTGGAGAAAGGTCGGCTGAAGCAAATGACAGCTAGGCGTAATGACAGGTCACCGTCCCAAAATGACCTAGGGACGCTGATCTGTCATTAAACAATAACAACTGGGCGGAGCCGGCCATGACGTGCCGGCCCCGCCCAGTTAATTATTGGACGGGACCTCCTAGAAGACTCTGCCAGGTGCCAATTGGGGCGGAAGCTGTCACCGCTAGCTCCGCCCAATTGTTTTTATTTTGCCAGCATCTGTCAGATGCTTCATTATGCAGCGGGAGTCAGTCGCATGCAGTCCGGTCGGCATGCGTCGTTTTTTTTTTTTTAACATTTCCTTTTTTTTTTTAAATGTCAAAAAAAAAAATTCTATTCTGCTCGCTACCTCGGAGGTGCTGAGCTGATTGTCACTCGGCGGCATTCAGCTATTCACTTATTGCCGTTCAGCCCCTATAACAATAGGGGTGAACGGCAGCAAGTGAGCTTCAGCTCAGCCGATCCAGATGCAGAGCATGTTTGGCTGACCGAAGGCAGCTGGTGTATGGTTGATTTCAGCTGTACAAGGCTGAAGTGAATAGCCGAACAGAGTTCGACTTCCTTCACTTCGACTCGGTTATTCACTAAGCAGCCTTCGGCAACTAAGTGAATAACCCCCGAAACTTGTTTTAGTTTTGGATAGAGTAGAGAGGGATTAAAACACCTGTCAGGTTTCTTTTGCGGCCTGTGTCCTTGTTCTGGAGATTTACCCTCTCTATTTGTCCTGATGACCTGTATCACTGAGAGTTAAAGTGAAAGAAAATGCCAAATTCTGGGTCGTCTTCAGAACAGGAATAGATAGGAAACCTTCCAGTGAGGACACTAGTTTTGGTGACCCTGCTGACCACAAGGGATTTCCCACTTTGGATGGATGTCCTCTCACTTCCTGTTGTGGCTATTGAACAGGAAGTGAAGGGAAATCTCAACAATGCAACACAAATGGCAAAAAGCTGATGGGTTATAACCCTCACTTTCTCTAATCGAAACGTAAAAAAACATTTGGCTTCAGTTCTACTTTAAATCAGCTAAAAACATTGCAGGTACATCAATGCAAAAGGTGTTTAATGTCTTACAGTTACAGTTTTCTTTAAAAAGCAGCCAAACCCTGAGTAGAAAAGCCTGTCCCCTGCCAGCATGCTGCAGAGTGGGGCCCCGTATTCTCTGCATGGAAGCAATGAATGCTTTGCAAAGGTCTGACTTGCCCCCCCCTGCTTAGTCAGAACCCGAGCTCTCTACTGATTGGAGAGTTCTGGCCCTGACCCAGTACGGGATGCGTCAGATCTCTGCAATAGAACCACTGCTTCCCTGTAGAGAGAAAGGGTCCTTCTCTGCAGCTGCTGCCAGGTACAGGCATTTCTACTCGGACTGCCTTAGAAAGAAAACAAACTTCACTTCCTAGAAACTTCACTGAGATCTAGAGACTTAGAGACGTTATGACTCCGATGGGTGTTCCCTTGTTCTCTGATCTTCCGTCTTTGTCTTCTACCCCCTTTCTTAATGGAAGATCTTGCAGCTGCATCATTTTCAGTCAGTACTGTCAGAAGTGTGATTGCCCTCAGAATCTTACAGAAAATGGGATTCTTATACGTACTCTGTCCCAAGCACATTCCCTCCTTTCAACCCCCCGGACCACTATTTTTGCTTAAATGGGACAGAAATTGGCAAGTAGAGTTTAATGCCGATCAAAGGGACGATATCCTGTACTTTGTACTGTACTATCATGCTTCTATATTGAATCTGGCTACAAAATTTGACTTGATGGTTTAGGTTCCCCTCTGTTCTTTATAAAATGTATCCACAGGTATCACGGATGTGTAGGCAATGTGGGGAGCAGGAGGGCACGATCCTCTATGTTTTCTGGCAATGCCCATGATTGTGAGCTGTTTTGGGAACAGGTCCATGAACATATCTACGAACTGACAGATGTTAATATGGGGACAACCCAGCCGCATGTCCCCTTCGCTTAAATTCTCTCTATAAACTCAGATAAAAACGCTCATTCCTGATGCATCTGGTGAATGCAGCTAGAGTTTGTATTGTTTTGCTATGGAGATGGGACAATTCCCCCACATTACAAATATAGTTCTCTAAAGTGTCCAAACTAAGGAACATGGAACTGCTTCTCTTTATCACAGAGAGGAACAGTTTAGGCATATATGGTGCAACTGGATGGACTTCACCTGCTCCCAAGAATACAGGGTTAACATCTTTTCTGCTTTCTCTGGTTACCCGCTCACCCATGGTGCCTTCAACAGTTATTGCCTCTTTGAATAAAGAATTTACACACAAAAAAAGAAAGAAAACAAACTGTAATACATTAAACACCTTTTGTTTGGATGCACCTGCAATTTATTCAGCGGCAGAGCCGAATTAAGAACATCACAGGCCTGGTGGGCCTTTTCATGGAAATGGCGACGGTATTATTTTGCATTGCTGCATAATTTATTACTGGGATTTGTGGTCCTCTATAGCTGGTGATATTCTCAATTCCTATGTAAAGTATTGCTAAGATTTCTAGTCTCTCTACAGCTTGGAGTCAGTGGCAGATCTACCAGGGTCGCACCTGCAACTGGGCCCTAGAGCTCCACCACTGACTCCAAGCTGTAGAGAGACTAGAAATCTTAGCAATACATTACATAGGTATTGAGAATATCACCAGCTATAGAGGACCACAAATCCCAGTAATAAATTATACAGCAATGCAAAATATTACCACTAACTATTGAGGACTACAAATCACTGTAATGCATTACAGAGCAATGCAGAATACCACCAGCTATAGAGGACTAAAAATCCCAGCAATACATTGTAAAGCACTGCAGAATGATACCATAAGCTATAGAGTACTACAAATCCCAGTAATACATTGTAAAGCACTGCAGAATGATACCATCAGCTATAGAGGACTACAAATCCCAGCAATACTTTATACAGCAATGCAGAATAATATGACGCTACATACTCTTTGTTGCTCTGGGTTTGCGGCCTTATATCTCCACGGTCTCAGAAGAGCTGTGTGGGGTTTATGGGGCTGTGCAGGCTCTCAGGAGGCTGTTCAGGTTCTTAGGTGGCCAGTACAGCTCTGAGGGCCAGTGCGGGCTGCGTTTTTTATTTTTTCCTTTATTTCCGCATGGTGATTTGGCCAGTTACATAATCCCTGTCTTAGGGCTGCTCCACTTTATTGAGAAGCAATGGAACCACCCTTGGAGAGCAGCATTGTCATTCTGTGGGGAGGATAGTGTTAGATGAACTAGAAGATTTAGCTGGAAGTGACTAACAAATGAAATCTGAGCTCCAGCTAACACTTTTAAAGCAGTCACAGCAACTGTTCTTTTGTGATAAAAGTTCTACATAAATTAAAAAAAGTTAACCATTGTAAGCACCCCTTTCAGTGTTAAATGATTTGTCTCAACCCTCTATCTGGCCATTTTCCTGGATACCTTGGTCTGTTAAAGGAAGTTTAACAAACCTACTGGCCCCGGTGTGAAAATAAAGGAAAGAAAAGCCTAAAGCAAGAAAACTAATGCAGCAACTGCATTTTTGGCTTGGTAATCTGAAATAAATTACCTTTTTCCTTTTGGGTTTAGCTATGCTTTCAAGGGTCCAAGTATTCACCAGTGTAGTCAATCCCTCGGTCAAAGGTAATTGGTGGGGCACCCAGTGAATGGATAGACTTTAACAGTGGAATTTAAAGTGAATTTTAAGTGAAAACTACATATATATTTCTGAACATTAATTGTTTTTGTTATTATTATCTTTTTTTTTTTTTTTTTTTTTTTTTTTTTTTTTTTTTTTTTTTTTTACTTATGTTGTGGCTTAGAAATTGATATGCCTTTTGAATTGTGTGTGATAAATATTCTGAAGTGTTTGAATTCTTGGAGCATAATGCTTTACGTTGTGTGTGTGACTGGGAATCTGATTAGTAAAAATTTCTATAATGACAACAATACACATTTGTACTGCTAAAACGGCACTATATTGATAACAGACATAGGAGTCAGTGAAATTGGAAAATTGGTCCATGTGGTTATCAAAACAAAAACGGCAATTCCAGCTAAATCATACGGACATGTCATCCATAAATGATGACAAATAGTTATCTATTTATCTATTCCTTTATAGGGATTTATTGGGATCAATGGATCCTGGGAACCTGTTTATCGGCTTTGGAATAACAAAGATGACAGTTAGCACCAAATATTTTGAGTCTTTTCTATTGTATGTGGAAAAGACATGTTTCCTAAAACTACCTAGGAAGTCCTAAATTGGTCTGATCAGCTCCTGAACACTGAGCGAATGTACCCACCCCTTCATGATAACAACATGATAACAACATAATGCATGGACAACATTAACAATAAAAACCTTTTAAATTAGAAGATGTTTTTATTCAACACTAAGACATTTCTAAACTACACCTGTAATTTGTCTTCCAGATTGCATATACAGGAACCACCTTCTTAGGGTATGTTGGATTATGGACTGGTCAAAGCCCTTACAAGTTTACGGTATCAGGGAATGCAAGAGGTAAAAAAAAATCTTATTGGTATGTACAACTATAAAGAAAGCGGAGATATATAAATAAAAGCATGTTTATAATAAAAATAATCCAGCTTTGTAAAATCCCCATGTGTCTAGTGCCCTGGTATTCAGCATTATCACCATGAAATGCATCATATTTTGCACAGACTTACTCTTGATTGAAACGTCCACTATGTATAGCATACACTTTTTTTCTCGTTTTCTCTGGTCTGGAACGCATGGAAACATATAAACACATGCAAACGCACTGGACCGTACCCATTTTAAAGTTAAAAATCAAGGCAAGAAATCACGGCAAAACGCAATGCACCACGTTGCAGATCTGGTCCGGAAAATGGTGTGAACATTTAAATACTATGGGGTCTATTCCCAAAGCTGCCGTAGTCAGCCAAATGGAAAAACCCACCCGAAGTGAGCCAAACTGATTTCAGCCGTACACCAACTAAAATCTGTACATCGGCTTGCTGCGGCTGGTTTCGGGTCGGCCAAACATGCTCAGCATGTTCGGCCGACCCGAAGTGCAGAAGGAGTTCGACTCTGGATCGGCAGATCCAACATCTGGATCGGCTGAGCCGAACCTCCGGCAGGCTACTCGCTGCTGTTTGGCCTATTCTCATAGATGCAGAACAGCAGTGAGTGAATAGCCGAATGCCGCCGAGCGGCATTCGGCTCGGCTATTCTGCTCGTACCTCTGTGGTACCGAGCAGAACAGAAAAATAGTAAAAAAAATTAAATAGAAAACGATTGGGCGGAGCTAGCAGTGACAGCTCGCTCCGCCCAACTGTTTTCTAGTGGACGGGCGGTTCTGCTGCTATTACACCCGCCCTCTGCTGCTGTCAATCACTAGAAGGGGACCTGCCCTCTGCTGATTGGCAGCAGTGGGCGGGTGCAATAGCTAGTTTGCTATTGGCTATTGCAAATTGCAATAGCCAATAGGAATGTACCTATGCATTCCTATGCTGTTTTTTTTTTTATTCTGATGACAGCCAACGGCTCCGATGTCAGAAGAAAAAAAAAGACAACAGAGCAGGGAAAGGTTTACTCTGCTCGATGGAGCAGAGTAAAACTTTCTGGGAGGAATTGTTTCTCTCCCAGCCGGAGAGGAGCTGCTATCTAATAGCGGGTGACTCCCAGAGCTTCCGGGAGAGTTGGGCTGTCTGGAGATCAGCTGATCTGTCTGTGCAAGTGGCCGGAGCCAGCCGTGAGATGACGGCTGGCTCCGCCCAGCAGTCAGTGGTCAGTAGCAGGTTGTCGGCCGGCCATATGCCTTCGGCTCGACTGAGCCCCTCGGCCAACTTCGTGAGCTGTACGGGCTAAAGTGAATAGCCCATACAGCAGCCCTTCGGTTCTACTGAACCGAAGTGGTCCTGGAGTCGAAGCTAGCCGAAGGATCAGACGAAGCTACGGCTAGATCCTTCGGCAGCTTTGTGAATATACTCCTATATGAGATTCCTTTTGTAACTCTCAGATTTTAGCATTGCATGCACACACAGAGGAGCATTGTAGATTAGCTGATTGATAAGTGTTATTTTTAAAGGAAAGATGTTAACTTTTATATTTTATTGCAACACAGCAAATGGGAAGTGGTGGGAGAATGCCATTTCTGCTTTTTTCAAGAGAAGTTCACCTGTCAGCTGGCTGATAAGAGATGTGAGTTGAGCCAAGCTGAATGATGATTATAATGCTCTTTGCTGTTGTTTGCTGCAAAGGCTGCATTAGTAAAATAGGAAAATTTATATTCTGTTGTATTCTTCTCTCCATCAGGCATTAAATAATGCCAAAGATTTTGAGGCTGCTGCACTACAGCTTTCGAAGACTCCAATTATAGCTGATACGTATTACATCATGGGTGGCACTCAGCCAAGAGAAGGGTTGGTCATCACCAGAAATCGGGATGGACCTGCAGACCTCTGGCCTTTGGATCCCCAAAAAGGAGAGTGAGTGAAACTTTATTAATATGTATTATTCAATATGCATCAGTGCCCCAGTATTTAGTATGCTCAGCACTTGGAAAGGGTAGTAAAAGCCCTGCTTAAATTGAGCCATGTAAGAGAGTGGAGAGATATTTCACCAAACCTCCTTTACCGTCTGTCCTTAGTGGCCACCAAGTTCTATGTGGCAATAATATTAAAACTAACTTGTCCATAAGTTTCGGTTGCACTTACTGTAACCCTTAATACTTTTATTTTAGGGCTGGTAATGATTAAAATTTTCCTGTTCGATTAATCGCAAAAAATTTTAATCGATTCATTTCGATTAATTATAACGCACATACAGATCCAACTACATTGGCCTATACACATACAGCACAGCAATAAAGTAATAAAATGAACTAGGATCACACTAATCCAGCACGTTATTAATCTCACGTGCCCCACTCAATATGGCCGCCGCTTGAGTGGGGCAACTCAGAATAAGAACGTGCTGGATTAGTGTGATCCTAGTTCATTTTATTACTTCATTGCTGTGCTGTATGTGTATAGGCCAATGCCAGGGATCCCAACCTGAAATAAGCAATTTCAGGGAGGTGTCCCTCTCATTTCAGGGAGGTGCC